GTGGCCAAGAGGGCTTTCTGTGCCTTCTGATTGTTTCTGTTTTCCTGCTTTTTAGCTGTTAAATCTTCTGTTATATCCCTTGATTTTTGTGCCCAGTATGTTTTCCCATTCTTCTCTTCTGGTTTTGCTTTTACCATTTTATCTCTTTCACACTTATGCTTACAGACTCTTTAAATTGTCTAAATTAGATCCCCATTGGCTTCCTAACCTGCCACACAGGCCAGTTTATCCTTTACCTTCAAAGCTTTTATAGAAAGGTACATTTTAAAAGTTTCCTTGATTTTATTTAGGTGCTATTTTTTCTAGCTGAAAGTTCTTAAATTCTCTTTAAATTAAAGTTTGGCCCTTAAGGTTCATGCTTCCTAAACCTTTTCCCAATGTGGTAGATGTGGAGAATGACATCCCCCAGCAGTTGTGGAGGCTACTCTAGCCTTGTGCTGTCTGCTTTGACTGAGGGTGTCCATATGTCTGTACTGTTGTCAACTGACCTAAGAATTGGAAGTTCTACCTTAACCGTTGATAAACTTCAGCAAAGTATGAGTACTCTGAATATTGTATTTTATGTGTATGTGTATATGTTTTTTCTTAAGCAGGATTTATAACTTTCATTAGATTCTCAGAGGGATTCAGGAACCAAAAAGGGTAAGAATTAGTGCTTTAAACCATGCACTGAAAAAACATGTATGGCATGGCTTACTATTTTTGGTTTAATGTTTTTCCTTTTGATTAAAAAGTTATACATGTGTTATATAAAATTCAAATATTACAGGTCGAATTAACTGTAGAAAGGGAAAGTAAGACATATCCTAGTTAATTTCCACCAAATATGAGACATATTACTTTTCTTCTTCATGTATGAACATTTTCTCCTTTGCCAAATTGTTTATAAAGGATATTGTATACTATGAGCAGTGCTTTCTCACTTAGTGTACCTCAGATGCCTCAGTGCTTATTGACCTTTCTCATTTTTTTTAAAAGTGCCAAAGTACTTGTGGATCTACTACAGTTTGGTTAATTTTTCTTTCATGAGTTGTTTCTGACTTTTTTGCATTGCAAACTAGTATAGTGGACATCTTTTTGTAAATATATTTTTGCAAATTTAGAAGTATTTCTGTATAATAAATTCCTAGAAAAAAAAAACCAGTGTTATGAATATTTAACATTTTAATAAATATTGTCAAAGTGCCACCAAAAACTGAACCTGTTTACACTTCCATGTGTATGAGAACAAATACAGCTTTCCAACTCTGAATTAGTAAATCCTTAACCTGCAAGATGAAAAAGGTACTTTTACATTATGGAGAAATTTAAACATACATAAAAGTAAATAAAATAGAACGTTGAACCTTTACGTTCCATCACCCAAGCTCAACAGCTATCAAGATTTTGCCTCATTTGCTTCCTTTTGCTAAAGTTGTTTTTTTGGTGGGACTGTGGTTTGAATTCAGGGCTTCGAGTTTGCAAAGCAGGCACTCTACCACTTGAGCTACAATCTCTAGTCCATTTTGCTCTGGTTATTTTCTAGGCTCAGGCTGGCCTTGAACCATGATCCTCCTGATCTGAACCTCCCAAGTAGCTAAGATTGCAGGCACGAACCCCCGGTGCCTGGCTACACTAAAGTATTTTAAATCCTACAGGTCCCCCAAAAATCACGTCATTTCATCCTGATAGGCTTTGGTATTCTTTTGAAAATACAGTTTTCTTTTTTTAAAATAATTCTTAACCTTTTAGTTCAGATAATTTCAAACATACATAAAAGCGGTGAGCACAATGAGCCTAACTTGAATGGTATTTTATTAGGAAAAATCTCTCAGTCCCTCCCTCCACCCCACCTTTTTTTTTGTGGTACAGGGTTTGAACTCAGGGCCTTGAGCTTGCTATGCACTCAGTCCTTTTTGCTTGAGTTATTTTTCAGACAATCTCGTGCCTTTTTTCCCAGGCTGACCTGGACTGAGATCCTCTTACCTATGCCGCCACGTAGCTGGGATTACAGGCATGTACCGCTACATCCAAGTTTTTTCTGTTTTTTTTTTTTTTTTTTGCAGCACCAGAGCTTGAATTCAGGGCTTCAGGCTTGCTGGGCAGGCACTCTACCACTTGAGCCACTCTACTAGCCACATCCAGGTTTTTTGTTGAGATGGAATCTTGTTAATTTTTTTATGGGCTGTCCTTAAACCTTGATCCTTTTGCTTTTTGCCTTTTGAGAAGCTGGAATTACAGATTTCAGCCACCATACCCTGCCACTCTTGATACCATTTTTGACTTAAAGACAAATTTAACTATATCCTTTTAAGTTGGTGAGTTAAAAATTGGAACAAAGTAGTATATGGGTTTGGTATTGGCTTATATTCTTTTTAATGAGCTTAACATAATGAAATGTGATGTAATGATCTTCCAATTTCAGCAGTTAACAATTCATAGCTGGTAATGGTATAGTCTTACTCTTTCTCTTCACTTTACCATATTATTTTGAGACATACATTATAACATTATGGCATGACATTTCATCTTCTTAGTCTCTGTATATTACCTAAAAAGCAAGGACTTCCCTCATCAATGACAATCACAATGCTGATTTTGTCACACAGAAAATAATTTCTTAATGTCAGCAGGTATTCGTGAATGTTTTCTTATACAACCACAACAACATTGTCATACCTAATAAAAATGAATGAACTAGTGCCCAGCTCATAATCAGATCTCCTTTACTGACTAAAAAATGCCTTTTAGAGGTGGTTTATTGGAATTACTTCATATATTACATATGATTATTGGGACATTAGAGCCTCTTTTTAACCTAGGGTGACCTTTCCACCTACTTTACCCCTCTGACACTAACAGGTTGCAGAAATAGTCATCTTGTATATAATGTCACACATTCTCAGTTTGCTTTCTGATTTTTTTGTGGTGTCATTTAACTTGTTCCTTTATCTAACATACTTCTTATAAATGGAAGTTGGACCTGGAGATTTGGTGTCATTCAAATTCAACATACTTGGTGAGAACACTTCATAAATGGTGCTGTGTGCTTCACATGCATCCCATGTCTGGTTTTCACTTTGGGATACTAAGATTGATAAGGATCTAATAGTTTGATCTTTTAGTGGAGAATTTCACATTAGGCTTTCTTCTACTTGTTCTATTGTATGGGTCAATTATTTCAACAAATACATATTTTTCAGTTACTTGTTTTTTGTTTTAGTAAAACTAATGGCTTTCTTAGGGAACTGGAGCATTTTTCATCTGTTTATTGACTAATCACTACTTCTTTTGTGAATTGTTCATGTCCTTGCTTGATTTTTTTTTGTTGAATTACTTTCTTATTCATTTTTGAATTTTTAATCATCGATAGTAATCTTTCATCTGTTTTACATATTATAAATATTTTTTCCAGTTATTATCTCTGCATAGAGGCTTTTGATTTATGTAGTTAATTTTTTTCTTACTTTTATGACTTTTGGTTTAGTCTATCTTGCCTAGATAGGCTTTCTATACTTTGGAAATAATGTAAGAAATAGGAAAATAGTTAATATTCTTCCAGACTCCTTTCTTCACTTGATTTTTTAATGTCTATGGAATTTATTTTGTATGTGGTTTAAGGTTGAAATCAAATTTACTTTTGTGTTTAAATAATCAGTTTTTTCTAAAGCAATTATTAAAAAGTCTTCTTACCACATTGAATTGAAATGCTGCATTTATCAAATGTTTGTTATTAAATTAACAAATTTATGTATTCTTATTCTGGATTCCATGTGGTCCATTGATGTCATTAAATTACCACAGTTTTAATTACAATAATTTGTACTGTGTCTTAAGGTCCAGCTCATTATCCATAATCATTTTTACAAGAACTTTGCTAATATTTTTGACACATATTGCTCTTCCATTTGAACTTTAAAATTAGTTTTGATTAATTTCATTGGGATTTGAATCTAATTGCAAATTTAAGTTTGGGGGAAATATCTTTTTTTCTTTTGACTGTACCTGGGATTTGAACTCAGGGCCTCACACTTGCTAGGGAGGTGTTCTATCACTTGAGGCACACCTCTAATTCCTTTTGCTTTAGTTATTTTTTGCATATGGTCTTGTGGTTTTGCCTGGCCTGGCTTGGAATACAATCCTCCTATTTATGCTTCCCACATAACTGGGATGACAAGTCCAGCTTTTATTGGTTGAGATGGACCTTGCAACTTTTTTTGCCTAGGCTGTCCTCAAACCAAGATCCTCTTGATTTCTGCCTCCAGAGTAGCTGGGATTACAGGGGAACTGCCCTTTTAAAAGAAATAAAATCAATTTTCCCATTTAGTAGTAGTATTTTTCCTATTTAGATCTTTAATTTTTTTTAATCTAAAATAGTTTCTGTGCCCCTCATTATGTTTATTTCTAGGCATTTTATATGTTAAATGTGGTAATGTTTTGTTTGGTAACAAAGTAGCTTATTTGTGATCATTTGGATTTTGAATATAGAACACTTTATGCCATTTTTGTTTGTGTTCCAATCATACTTTAAAGTGAGTATAAGCAAGATTAGAAGAAATGTGTACACTTAAATGTAAATCTTTAAAAATAAACCAGATATTTACATAATTTATTCATTAATGCAGTAACTTAGAAATAGTTAAGGAATGGAAAATGTAAATTCTTTGGGAATGATCAGTTTGTACTTAGTGGTTTATATAGGAAGGAAATAATAAGATAGTATTTGAAAGTAATAAATTGTAGTTTAATAACATAAATTCTATAATGATTTTCTTTTTGTATTCTAGGTGGAACATGACTAGTATGGTCTTTTCTTAGGGAAAATATACATGAGTGTCATTTTTGATTTAGACTGATTAGAGCTATTTTCTTTTAACTTGGTGCTTTAGAAATCATAAAGAAGGATTATATTGGCTTTGATAGTAGCCTCTATTTTGTTTGTGAATATTGGAAATGAAGTAATATGTTCTTGGCTGGTTGGATATCACTGTTAATTTTTTTCTTTTCTTTTTTCATTATAGGTTTTGCAAAAGGCATCAAATTAAATCAAGTTCAAATATTCCCTGTGTCCCCAAAGACTTACTGATGATGTCTGAATTTGTTCTCCCAAGATTTATTTTTTGTCTTATTCAGTACTTAAGAGAAGGCTATATTGAACCAGGTGTGTTTTAATCTACTCTTTAGTATTCTTTTTAAGTTATCAATTCACAAAGTTTTAGCATTAATAACTAGGTGAATTCTTTCTGTATCATTTGTTTTTTCTTAACATTTTTAAAGAGATGACTATCAACAACAGAGACTGAATAAAAACACTACAATAAGTGATCAAACTTTATAGGTACCTTGTGACATGGTTTGGTCCTTTTTTGCCTTTGGCTGTACAGTTTTTTTTTTTTTTTTTTTTTGGCGGTATTGGGGTTTAATCTACACTCCAGCCCCTATTTACTTCTTTTAGAATTTTTTTAGACTTCATCTTCTTTTTTTTTTTTTTTTTTTTTTTTGTGGGACTGGAGTTAGAACTCAGGGCTTTAAACATACAAAGCAAGCGCTTTACCATTTAAGCCACACCTCCAGTTCATTTTGCTCTGGTTATTTTGGAGATGGGATCTCACAGACTATTTGCCAAGACTGGCCTCAAACCATAGTCCTCCCAATCTCAACCTACCAAGTAGCTAGGATTACAGGCATGAGCCACTGTTGCCTGACTCATTCTTCTTATAATCTTTAATATTTTTTCTCATTTATTGGACAAGGATCCCCTTCCTCCCCAAAACTCTCCTTCCAGCTCTACTAGGCATAGCTTCCCTAATATTTTTTGATTTTTAGTAAAATTATTTTTACTTATAAATAATAGTTTTCTCTCATTTCAGTTGCTTTTATCTTCACAAACCATGAGTCAGGACTGAGGTGTGACTCAATCAGTAGAGCGCCTTCCTAGCAAACTTGAGGCCCTGAGTTCAAACCTCAGTACTACAAAAAAAAAAAAGACCATTTGTCTATTATATATTTTTGGAATATGATAGTTGATGAGTTTTTTATTGTACAGATTTAAATATGGAGTTGACATAATTTTGTCTTAATATTTTTATGCTACTCTGAGTGTATTTGAGTTCGACCTTGTTTTATTCTAGTATATAATCAACTTTTTCTTAAGCACTATCTTATTTTGAAATGTTTTTATGATTATATTTATGTATCTAGATGTATAGAGGCCCCTGACCCTCACACTAAATGTTTCTTATACATAATAGATGCTTAATACCTTATAGTTCATCTCTTTTACTTGTCCACTTTTATTGAAGGACTGAATTGCTGAGTGCTGGGCAGATACCAATTTTCTAACAGAGTTCTTACTGTTGACTTTTTTGATTATAAAAATACTGTCATAAAACCACTATAATTTTAAAAGAATAAAATATTATTTTGAGCAAAATATTTAAAAAATTACCCTTAGTTACATGTATATATGTAAAAAAAATTTTTTAATTTATTTTATTTTATTTTTTTTAGCAGCTGATGTACCATCAGAAAAAGACCTTAACAAAGTCCTTCAGCTTTTGGAACCTCAAATTTCCTTTTTAGAAGATCTAACTAAAATGGGAGGAGCAATGAGGTCTGTTCTTACTCAGGTTTTGACAAACCAACAAAACTACAAAGATCTGACTTCTGGTGAGTTAAAATGTTGCAAGAAATTTACTTTTTTTTACTATAATAATAAGAAATTGCATACTTTAGAACTTAAAAGTAAAATGTAGCCTTTTTCATAGAATGCTAAAGCTTGGTCATATTAAGAGAACTTCTTATTTTGTAAAGGAGGAAACTTGAGCCCCAGAAAAATTAAATGACCCACTTAACACTTCTCAACTAATATGTGTTGGAGAAGCCAGGTCTCCTGCCTTTAGTATGACACACTCCTACTCTACCTCTCTTTCTTTAAGCAATAGCAGCAACCACTTTTATGTCTGTGGTTTTTAGCACTCTAAACTTGTGGGTTGTATGGCCCATGATTTTATATTAATACAAAACTGAAATTATGAAACTGGAAATTAAGCATTTGTATATCTGGGATCCTGTTATATAAAACAGTTTTAACACTTTCATTTTGTAGGAATTATAGTGTAAACATGCATCAATTATTTAAAAATCTTGTTACAAATATTTTAAATGTTGTTTTTTTCTTACTGGCTCATGAACAGCATTTTTTTTTTTTCTTTTTTCTTGGCACTGGGGATTGAACTCAGGACTTCACTCTTACTCTCCCACTTGAGCCATGCCCCAGATTCTTTGGCTTTTCACTTGTTTCAGATAAGGTCTTAGGCTAGTTTTGTCTGGGCTGGCCTTGAACCATGATCCTCCTACCTCCTCTTTCCTAATAGCTGGGATTACAGGCATGCACCACCATACCTGGCCCATGAACAGCATGTTTTGAAAGTTGAAGTTCACGTGAATTGTTTACTATATGCTTAGATAGTCTTGTATGATGTACTTATTTCTTCAACAAATTCTTTTTTTCTTCTTTTTATTTTGCTGTGGTGGGAATGGAACTCATGACCTTGCACATGCTAGGCAAGTACTCTATCACTGAGTTAACATCCCCAGCCCTAGGTTTTTTTTAGACAGAGTCTTATTATGTAGCTCATGCTGAACTTGAACTTGCTATGTACCCAAGGCTGACCTTGAATTTGTGATCCTCCTGCTTCTGCCTTCTGAGGTATAGGTAACACCATGTCCAGATGTCTTCAACAAATTTGTATTAAGTACTTCCTCTGTGCTTTGTTCTGGCTAGCAACTGGGGGGTAAAGGTAGCAGTAAACCATATCATTCTATTTGCCCTTTTAAAGTAAATGGTCTAGTAATTGAGATGGCAGTAATAAAACCTGAAACCAAAAAATTGTGTACTTATAAACTGTAATGAATACTATGAAAGAGTAAGGCAAGTGGTTGTAAAAGAGAGTCTTGATTTTACTGGTGTGTGTGTGTGTGTGTGTGTGTGTGTGTGTGTAAGTGGTGAGATTTCACTGAGGAGGGAAAATATAAAGCAAAACATGGTTGAGTTAGGAAGTCATTAGCTAGAGGGTGGGGGGAGTTGGAGTGGAGTTAGATTCTAGGTAATGATATGTTCTCCTTCTGGCTACTGGACTAGCTTTTAGGTTATAAACAATAAAAACTGCAAAAGATGAAGCAACTATTTTCAGGCATTAGACAATAGGTAGTACAAGACTATGAACTCTTGAGAGAAAGGAAAAAAGTATGAGATGAATCCCATGATTGCCTGGGAAATTTCCTGACTGAGTTAAGGATGGATTGATCACAGTATAGGGCCACTGATATTGTTGGAAGCTGTGGAATCTTTGTCAGAACACTGAGATACAGTAGAGGCAGACTTGTGGGGGACACCTAAAAGTACTTGGCTGTGTATGTGTACGAGGAGACTATCTAAGGTTTACTAAAGAGTGACAGTTAGGGATTAGACAGAATAGACATATTAAAGTCGAGCAGCGTCAGGAACATTGGAGTCAAGAAAAAAAAATAGCCACTAGAAATTGAACTTAAGATGGCCTAGATGTTGGATTTAACAGATAAAGACATTAAAACAACTATTATAAGTTTGTTCAAGAAATTAAAGGAAAACGTGTTCAAAGAATTAAAGAAAATATGGTGTTAATGAGTGATGAAAAGACAAGGAATCTTACAAAGAAATGCAAAAAAAATACAAGATGAAATTCTAAAACTGAAAGTTGTAATGTGAAATAATGGAATTGAAAAATTCACTTGATGGGCTTAGCATATGTACGTATATATGTGTTTTACATGTTTAGTCAGTGAATTGAGACCACATCAATAGGTTATCCACTCTGGAGAACAGAGTGAAAAATGATGGAGGAAAACAACAGAACCTATGGTGAACAGGTGATCTAACACACATATTATTTCAGTCCGAAAATGTTTGAAGAATTTGGCTAAATTTCCCTGAATTGGATGAATAGCATCGATACTTAATGAATCCTAACCAGGATAAATACAAAGAAAAGCACACCTGTGCATCACCTAGATTCTGGGGAGAGATACTGGCATATGGGAATATTTATAGATGGGAATGAGCCTATTTCTTTCTGCTTTCTAGGGATTAAAAAATAATCTAAGATGGTTGAAGTGAAATAGATATAGGAGGATAGTGATCCATATATGAGTACTACATTAGACTACTAGATGTAGGCAAGTCCTTATAGGTCATGTAAAATTTTATATCTTACTATGAATATAGTGGAACCACTGCAGGGAAATACTTTAACCTTAAGAGTGAGATGATTAGGAGTAAGCATGGTGGATCGTGCCTGTAATCCCAGTTATTCAGGAGGCTTGAGGCCATCCCAGATAAGAAATTATTGAAATCCCGTCTTAGTTTACAAACTGGATATGGTGGGATGTGCCTGTTGTCCCAGCTATGCAGGAGACTGTAGGAAGATTAAGGTCCAAGCCAGCCCAGGCAAAAAATACAAGACCCTCTCTAAAAAAATCACCTAGAGCCAAAAGGGCTAGAGGTGTGACTCAAGTTGCAAAGAAGGCCCTGATTTCAAATCCCAGTACTGGTGCGGGGGGAAGGGTGAGACGATCAGATACGCATTTTTAAAAGTTGACGTCTTTTGCCAAGAATAAATTGGATATTTTGTTTAGGGATGTCAAGAGAATCAGCAAAAAAACTAACAAAAAGAATAAATCGGAACGGGCAAGAAGAGTAGCTTAAGAGCAAACAGTCTAGGATAAAGATGGTGGGGGCTTGTATGTGAGTTTTGGTGGTGAGGCTGGAGTCTTGAACATTATAGCTAGACCTCTGCGTGTGTGCAGATATATAATTCTGCCACTTAGGAGGCAGAGGCAGGAAGATTGTGAGTCCAAGGCCAGCCTGGGCCATGCAGAGAGATGCTGAGTTAAAAAAACCAAAAAACCAAAAAAAAAAAACCATACCTGGACACCGGTGATTTTTTTTTTTTTTAACTAGAAAATGGTTCTTTATTCAGAAATTATTGACTGTTGAGAAAGAGAACAGGCAGGTTCTTAGTTAATTTTTAGTGGTGAAACTAAAGCTAGATTTTGATTGAAAAGTTTGAAATTTGCAGGCTAGCTTCACTTCTACTGTGCTTGCGTATTCAGTAGCTAGCCATGCCATCTTTCTAAGCCTCAGTTTTTATTCGCTTATACAAATGGTGATTATGGCATTTGTTTTTCTCAGGGATATTTGTGAGGAGTTGATGAAATACATTTAGTTAGATGAGTATTATTGAGATCACTACATGGCTTTTATTATTCAGGAGACTTTATGTTTTTGATGCTGGAATTGAATTTGAACCCAGGGTCTTGCACATGCTTGGCAAGTACTCTATTACTGAGCTGTACCTTGAGCCCTTACTCATTTCTTATGCAGGAAACTACAGGTCCTTCCTTCTTTCCTTCCTTCCTTCCTCCCTCCCTCCCTCCCTTCCTTCTTTCTTTTCTTGGCACTGGAGTTTGAATTTAGGGCCTCACGCTTGCTATGCAGGTGCTTGCTAGCCCAGGTTTGTTCATTCGTTCTCTTTTTTTCAATACTGGGGTTTAAACTCAGGGTTTTAGTGCTTGTTAGGCAGGAACTTCACCACTTGAGCCTTTCTTTGTGTCCATCCTTTCTTTATTCTTAATAAACTAATTGGGCTCTTTTAATATATTGGACTTGAATTGAAGGAGGTATGTGTTCTCTTTGTTTAATCTGTTTTTTTTTTAAATGAGGGTGGACAGATCGAAGATGAACACACACAGAAAAAACTATGTATTATTGCTTTTATTAAGGCTTAGCAGATAAACTCATTTAAATATTTATATAATCACAGATATTCAGAGCTTAATTTAAGATACATAATCTACTTAACAGGTGGCAAATGTCATAGAAGTTTGAGATTAAGTTTTTCCGTTAGAGTTTTCTGTCATCAATCTGTTTTTCTTTTACTATTTTTCCATACTCCATATGGAGATTGTCAAACCAAATGTGAAGTTTGATTAGTAGTTGTCATCTACTATATTATATCTGACTTTCTTTATTGCTGGTTTTCAGGATCCTTGAAGGGTAAGATATTCCTTATTAATTTTTGTGTCCTCTGTGTCTTGCAGATAGTATATCAAATATTTTAGATGCTCAGCTACTTAATAAATGTTACTAGCTGTGCATTCTTGGATTGCTAATGCCAAACATAAGCATAAGCATATTAGCTGAGGCTATTTCATATGGTTTACTGTAGAGTTTCTCTTCCATTAGTATATTCATCTATTTTGTCTAATGTGTTTTAGCTAATGAGATCATTGTATATAGATTTTGAGTGGAATGTTTTCTTTTGATTTTAATTTTATTTTAATATTAGGTCTTGGAGAAAATGCTTATGCAAAGAAAAGTCATGAAAAGTACCTTATAGCTTTGAAGAGCTCTGGACTCACATATCCTGAGGATAAGCTTGTTTATGGTATGCAGGAGCCATCTTCTGGTACTAGCACTCTGGCAGTTCAAGGTTTGTCTAAGTATTTAATTTGAATAATAATGACTTTTCTGTATAAAACACAAAACTCCTCAAACTTTACTCCTTTTTGAGTAACTTTATTTTGAGCTAAAACAGTGCCATTCTTGATAAAGAAAAGAATTAAAAAATTAGAAGCAAGGAAGAATAAATTATGCTTTCTTTAAAGAGAATTTAAAGTTTTTTAAGGCTCTGGTTCTCTACTCATGAGAAATGTAGTAGTTACTATTCACATTTTCCTAGCTCAGTGTTTTAGTAATTCATGCTTTAAAATTAAAAAGAAAAGATCTTTCTTAAACACTGTTTCTAGTGGTTAAATCTGAGTTTTCACTAGAGAATTGGAAATGGCAAGCTAGAAGGTCCAAATTTATTCAAGATAAATGTTGCACTTTACCAGCATAACTGTTAGAATGAGATGTCTTCATATAACAAATCATAAATTTTTGACAATTCTCAAAATAATTTTAAAGTAAATCAATGTGTAACAACTATGAAGGGCAACTTTTTTTTTCCTCCCCTCCAAAGGTTTTGCAGGTGCAACAGGAACATTGGGACAAGTAGATTCTTCAGATGAGGTGAGACTTAAAATCTAAAACTTTTAACTATATAGAATTTTAACAGTTTTAGAACTATAAACGTTCATGGTTATTATCTAGTTCAAGTTCTTCATTCTGTTAGGCAAGGAATACTGAAGCCCAGCAGACCAAGGCTACAGCAGAGTTTTGCTTCAAGTTTAAATTCATTTCTGTTTTCACAGTTTAAAAGTGAGAGATAGAGATTTTTCCTAGGAAAATATTCCCAAATGTATCCAAATAGTTTTCATATGTCTAATGAAATTTTTTTCTTGTTTTGTACTGGGGATTGAACATCAGAACCTTGTGCTTGGTAGGCAGTTGCTCTACCATTTGAACTATATTCCCAGTCTTTTGTTCTTATTTTGTTTTTGAGATAGGGTCTTGCTGACTTTGCCAAGGCTGGCCTAGAATTTGTAATCCTCCCAAGTAGCTGGGATTATAGATATGTACCACTATTCCTCACTTTACAATGAAGTTGTTTAAAATATTTAGTTTAGAATAAATTATTAAAGGAATATTAATATTAACCATTTCTCTGCTATCATAACAAAGTTACAAGTTAACAGTTACATTTTAAAGATTATTAAAAAAAGTGTACTTAGATCAATTTGAAATTTTATATTAATAAATCTTTATATTTTATTTTTATTTATTTATATTATGTACTTAGAAAATATTTTATTAATCTTATGATCTTGATGTTGACAAATTTTAAAATTTACATTTCTATGTAATAATAGTTATAATAATTAAAATTAAAAATACTATGCTTAAACATACATATCTTTTTTCTTTGAAACCCATTTTGAGTTGATAATATATCCTTTTAGAAAGGATGATTTCTGTTATGGAAGTGTTGTAATTGATTTAATTTCTTAAAATTTAAATTTTATATCAGTATTTTCCCCACTCTGAAAAGGCTCCCACAAAATGTAGCATTGTGTAGTGTCTCACTTCATACAATTTTAAAACATTTTCATTAGATTGGAAAGGCAGTTTAGTATGCTGCTTAGGAATTTGACTCTGTAATTAGAGTGAAGAATTTGAATTCTGTTTTTTTTTTTTTTTTTTTTTTGTGGTTACTAGGGTTTGAACTCAGGGCCTTATACTTGCTAGGCAGGCACTCTTACTGCTTGAGCCATACCACCACCTGCAGAGTTTGAATTCTGGTTAATTACTCGTGTGACCTTGGGCAAGGGTCTTAATCTTTAATCTGTCTTCATGCTTGTCTGTAAAATGGAGATAATGTTATGAGAATTATATATGACTTAAACTTAGAGCAGTGGTGCTTGGCATATTGTAAACATAGTAAAAACATTTTAAAAGATTGGTGTAAACAGCTTAAGAATTTTGCTTTTCTTTCTTAAACTTTAAAGAGTTACTTTTTTTTTTTTTTCTGTTGAACTGGGGCTTGAATGCAGGGCTTCCGTGCTTGTAAAGCAGGTGCTTTACCACTTGAGCCACTCCTCCTAAAGAGTTACTTCTATGAACAGTACTAGTATAGTGACAAATATGGAAAACTTACAGAAATTGAAGAGACTTTTTAAAACGTAAACATTATTATATTAACTAAAGCAGTAATAATTACATTTTGAGGCAAGGGGTGAGAAATGAGAGTAAGAATGCTAATTCTTCATTTGCCAAAGAAAATGGTAATTGGTAATAGATGTGTTTTTATACTGCTTATTCTGCTTTAAGGGCATTTTTGTGGGGAGGAGGAATAGCTATGAAAAGTTGAGCTCTGGGAAGATTAAGAGTTGAATATAAACGGGTGCATGGGTATGTCTTTGGCTATACCTATCTAGACAAGATAGGAAGCCTTGTAGCTATTACCAGTAGAAACTTTAGAAAACGACTGCATAATGAAATTGTTTAATGATTGTACAAAACACTTATTAAAATACCTTAAATGTCTTGACTTGATTTAGAACAACAAAAGTATATAGTTTTGTCATTGTGTTTACGTGGTAGGTTAGCACCTTCATGTATTTTACCATGCCTAGTATTATGCATCTAGTAGACTTGCTAACAATCTACTTTATTTTCATGAATTCAGTTTGATTTCTAGGCATAAAGAAAACCAATCTTCAAAGTAGATCTTTTCTCCTTTGACTTGGAAAGAGATAACTTACTTGTTTATTGGTGGTACTTGGGTTTGAACTCAGGGTCTCAATCTTGCTAGGCAGGTGCTCTCACCTTGAGCCACTCTGCCAGCCTGAAATAACCTATTTTTGTTTTGGCATAAACTCCCCAGATTAAATTCTAAATTCCCAGTGGAAACTGGTTTACATAATTACATTGCAGCAACATTGTATTTTCTGGTTGGGTGCTAGAAGGATATCCTTGTGTGTGTGTGTGTGCTTTTAAATTTCTTCCATAAGTAATTTCTAGACTGATATCAGAGGCTTTGAAACATGACTGTTTATTACTGTTATTTCTAATTGTTGTTTCTAATCTGGCTTTTTAAGCCCTCTTTTCTGCTTCTTTTGTTTATTCCTCTTATATTCTGTATTTCAGCAACTTCTGCATGTAATAATGTTTTATGTAATCATTTGTTTCTTAATTATGAGTATGTCTCAGTGTGATATCATGGCAAATACTTTTTGATGGTGAATATTTTAAAATATTTTATTTCACCCTGAATTCTCATAGTACACTATTCTTGTGATAGGAGTTAAGAAGACTTACTTGTAGAGTGTATGATGTATATTTAACTTACATTTTAAATTAGTTTAGACTCTTTAACCTTAAAGTCATAATTTATAATTAAACTTTTAGTCTACTTAAACATACTTTATATGTACTTATCCCACTTTCTAATAAGAATGGAGTTATTTGAGCATTTAAAGCTTAAGAATTTGAAGTATTTAAGTGGAAGTGAATAGAAAGGATGCCTGTTTTACTTTTTCTTTAAGAGTATCATTAGAGGGGGTGAATTCAAGTATGATGTATTTGATATATTGTAAGAGCTTTTGTAAATGCCACAATGTACCCCCAGCACAACAATAAAAAAAAAGGAAAATCATTTTGTTTCCCTTTACTATACGGTTTAATTCTTCATGTATTCCCCAAGGTGGCATAACATGTATCCTAGGGAGAACTTGAACTTTAGAGTCAGGCAGACCAAACTTTGAGTCTTGACTCATAATATTCTTAGGCTTTTTGCCATGTTATTTAACTTCTAAACATCAATTTCCTCATAAAAAATAATGATAAGTCTCATGTTAAAATTAAATGGAATAATATACACGAAGTTACTATGATATACCTGGCACAAATCTGACTCTTCATAAATGTTTTCTGTCCTTCCATTTTATATGAGAAAGGGATTCAAATATTTGAATTTTTGAGTTATTGTGGATCATGATACAGAAATTTCGGATGGTCTTTCCAGAGAAACAGTTACTAAAACATTCCTGAAAGGTTATAAAGTTTATATTTCAATATTTAGTTAAAATTGCCTAAGTAATGTGCAGATACATTTTGGTTATTTTGCTGGATAATTCAGATAAAATAAAAATTTCCTTTCTATCTTCCCTAATACCAGCCCTCCTCTCGGTATCTACAGTTAATAGTTTGGATGTCCTTGACAGATCCATTTGTATGTTAAATAACAATGTGTTTATAGAAATGTATACATGTGTGTATACACATTTGTTTGTGAGGGTAAATAAAAAATGTTATACTGTTTTGTGACATGCTTTTATTTACTCTGTAATACACTATGCAAATCTCTCTCTCTGTCTCTTTTTTGTTAGGCAGGCACACTCATTTGAATCATGCCCCCAGCCCCTTTTGCTTTAGTTGTTTTTCAAATAGGGTTTCACACTTATGACCCGACCAGCCAGGACCGCTGTCCTCTTATTTAAACTTTTGCATAGCTGTGATGACAAATGTGCCCCACTTTTATTGATTGAGATAGGTTCTCACAAATTTTTTGCTTGGTCTGGCCTCAGAACCACAGTCCTCCTGATCTCTACCTCCTGAGTAGCTAGGATTATAGGGGTGAGTCACCTCTCCTGGCTGCAAATCTGTGTTTGTATTCATCTTTCCATCTGCTGTATAAAAAACTAAAATATAAATAAAGTATAGTTCATTCAATCATTGCTCAGTTTCCAATTTTTATTCGAAAATACAATGCTTCCATTTTTTTTGTGCAGATATACCAGTAGTTCTATAAGATGTGGATTGCTGTGCCACAGAATATATGCATTTTAAATTTTAATAGATTACATTTCTTTATGAATATAGTCACATGCATGCATTTAAAATGAAAAGTACAAAGATGCCAGTGCCAGTGGCTCACGCCTATAATCTAGCTACTCAGTTGGCAGAGATTAGGAAGATTGAGGTTTGAACCCATCTCTGGGCTAATAGTTCGTGAGACCATATCTTGAAAAAAACCCAACATAAAAAAGGGCTGGTGGAGTGGCTCAAGATGTAGGCCCTGAGTTAAAGCTCCAGTTCTACCAAAAACAAAACAAAACAAAACAAAACAAAAACAAAGTCATGAGATATAACGAAAATGAAACTGAGTATTAGGACAAGGCAAGTTTAAAGGTTATAGAAATTAGGAAAGTTGTAGCTAAAAGGAACCTGGAGGTTCATCTTGTCTGTAGATGAAGAAGCTGAATTCCTTAGAATTTACTGATTTACTTAGGTTAGTGAATTTCATGTAGTTAGAGGTAGAGTTGAAATTGGACACTAAGACTCCTATCTGCTGTTCTAGTGTTCTTTCTGTAAAGTGGATAAATCATTGTTCACCATTGTTACTATTATAGAAACTGTTGCTATGGCCATAGCTACTACTGCTATTACTTAGTTATGGCTTACAATTAGCATTTTATTTTGCTTGCAATTTTATGACTTAGGAATTTGGGAAGGGCAGCTGCTGCAGTTTTTGAAGGTCAAATTTAGATACAGGTCTAAGGTAGCTGTCTCACTCACAGGGCTGATAGTTGGTGCTGGTTTTCCAGGGGTAGCTTAGAGTGTCTACATCT